CAATTAATTACTCATTAATTATCAAGAGAATGTATTCAATTGATTATACCTTGTTTTTGTGTACAGGTTTGGCATGTTAAACATCGAGGTGTCAAATTTAGTTTGCCTTTTTTGTAAAGGCATACACGTAATAGATCTTGACCATTTTTGGAAAACAGTTAAAGGATATTTTCATTAACTTGAAAATTGCTGCTGCTTTCTTTAAATCCAGAGGGTTTTTTATTAAGGAAAAAAAATACTTGGTAAAGATGACGCATATTTTGACATGAGCCCAATTACATATTAATTTACCTAATAAATTGAAAGCAGAAGTACTCTCCAGAAATTAAGTACAAGAATGCAGAAACGTTAATTAGCTTCATTTTTAATTTTAACTAGGGTGTGGCCTTGCGATATTGAAATTTGTTCTTGACCTCTATTCAGTACACATACAATGCATTTATTACGTGACTATCCATTGCTTGGACCAAATATAATTCAATACAAAGTGGGTTGTACTATGTTATTTCAATAAGTATATAAATTATTTGATAATAAAACAGCTTTATAAAAATGAATTTAGTTTATTATTTTTGTTAAAATGCATTATTTTTATGAAAATGTTCTCTGCACCTGGGTCTCTAAATGGCAAATGGAGCACAATCAGTGACAAGCTGTTCGGATGTGAAAAAATATGATAACGTTAAAAACTTGTGTCATACCATATTCCAATCAATCTTAAATATTTCCATCACAACAGTAAGACTCAAAAAGCAAAGCTTTATAATTCCCTAAGATACATGTTTAAAAAGAATAACTGTAGGCGTAAAAGGAATTAATAACTTCACACTGCATGATTGACAATAAAATGAAAAACAAGATTATATCTTGTAGTTATGTTTTACTTACTCATTTATATGAGACTATTGGAATGTCTATAATTTTTAGCTCACCTGAGCCGAAGGATTCTTAATTGTTCAAATCATAACTCCGTGGGGTTGGAAGCACAATAGGTAATAAAAGCTTAACATAGAAATATGTATATATATTAAAAATTTTAAAAATCTTCCTCTCAAGAACGACTGTGCCAGAAAAAGCTGGAACTTATATGGAAGCATCCTGAGATAGTGTAGATTCTATATTGTTCAAATCATGACCCCTATGATTGGGGAGGGCAACAATATGGAAGCAAAGTTTTACATAGAAACATATAGAAAACATTTTTTAATTTTCTTCTCAAGAACCACTGGGCCAGAAAAGCTGAAACTTATGTGAAAGCTACCTAGGATAATGTAGATTGTAAATTATTCAAATCCTGACCCCCTGGAGCTGGAGGAGGACCACAATAGGGAATCAAAGTTTAAAATTGGAATATATAGACAAAACGTTTTAAAAAAAATCTTCTCGAGAACAACTGAGCCAGATAAGCTGCAACTGATGTGGAAGCATCTTGGGATAATGTAGATTCTAAATTGTTCAAATTATGACCCCCGGGATTTGGCGGGGCCACAATAGGGAATCAACGTTTTACTTAAAATTATAGAAAAATCTTTCAAATTATTCTTCTCAAGAACTACTGGACCAGAAAAACTGAAAATTATGTGAAAGCATCCTAGGGTAGTATAGATTCTTCATTGTTCAATTAATGACCCCCAGGGATGGGAGGAGGCCATAATTTATAATCACGATAGGTAATTACAAGAGAGAAATCTATGAAAGAACATCATGGTCAAAGCTATTCGGGTAAGCGATGTGGCCCATGGGCCTCTTGTTTTTTATTATTATTATTATTATTATTATTATTTGATGTTTTGCTCTTTTGTAGATCGTTTGGAATATATAATAGGTTATTACAACATATGGAAAACAAATGTTTCAGGTGAGCATTTCTCCAGAGCCAGAAATAAATTATGTTTTAAGGTAAATATGCAATCCGAACATAATTTCTAATTATACAGTCATAAAGAAATGTAGTTTATTGATGGAATATGAAAGAAACTTATTTTTAATGTTAACAGGCCTTGGTGATTGCCAAATATGGAAAACGAGAATGATAATAATTACTTGCTAAAATACTTAGAATAAACAATCTGGTCATGTTCTGAACAAACAGATAGCGACAAATAGACAAACCCATGAGAAAACAAGATGTGTTTGTGAAACACTATGCGCCCAACGCATCTCTTTAGTGTCCAATCTATACCTGTCTGATGTTATATTTAAAAAAAGTCATTAAGAATTTTATATGTTTTAAAAATTCTTTTAGGGTAGAAAGTGGAGATCCATTCATTTCCAGTCAAAGATTAATTAATGAGTTCAATGTAGGTGGGCTAGCTGTCTCGATCATTTCTTTAGAACATCACTGATCAAGCAGTATTGTCTATACCCTTTGCGAATTAGATAGAAGAACTGTTGGTCAGTTTGTAGCATGTGTCATTGATTGCTAGCCTTTTATTTCAAAATTAATTTGGCTTAGATTCAGTTGTTAAGACTAATGTGATACTGTTTAATATGATGGGCATTTGGCAAAGTATATCACAACCAGTATAGAAAGCTATCAATGATTTTATATTGTTATAATTAATGTCTACACCACAGGGTATGGATAAACACATATTTTAAGAAATGGATAAATTATTGAAATCTTGACATGGTTTTCTAGCACTCTAAACTGTTTAGATAATCTGTAATTTTTGGACGGGCGTTTCATGCTGTGGCGTGGCACTTTATTTTATCTTTACTGAAATTAAAATGTAAATGTTGCTTCACGGTAATTATGTAGGGATTGATTCAATTTTCCGAACTTAATATATTTCGCCATAAAAAAAATTGAGGAAAAAAAAGCACGTGCTTTCTATTCTTTCTTTGAAAGCTGTTAAAGATGTGTAAAAAAAAAACTGTTTTCTGATTCGGTAAAAATATTTTTGATTGTATGAAGTACATGTATATTGATTTTATATCAACTTTCCGTTGTCGTTCTTCACTTCCATATTCAGAAATCGTCCAGACCTGGTTAATTTCATTCAATTAACAAAGACCTCGAAGTTTTTTAATACAATAAATCAATATTACCCCCCACTTTCCTAAAAGCGAGGGGACATTCAATTTCATTCGTCTGTGTAGTCCTGTTTGTATGACACAAAAACTTTAACCTTGGTCATGACTTTTGAATGAGAAGAGGGCCTTTATACATGTAATTCACATGTGTATTACCCGTTGCAAGACCTTCCTAAATGCATAAAATAATTTTGACCCCGTGATCTTGACCTTAAAGTATGACCTACTTAAAAAATATTACTTAAAAACTTCTGATCCCTTGACTTTGATCACGATTGACAGAATTAAAAAAAAAACTTTGGTGATAACTTCTGAATGACCTATGATTGGGCGTTCTTATTTGAAATAATTTTTACTGCTTTAGCATGCCGTTAGAATTATTCAGAAAATGTATTGTTATTGATGGTATTACCTAATGGAGTGTCTTTTTTTATTTTTTATTTGGGGGGGGGGGGGTGAAATTTATACGCGGCATTTTCTTTTTTACCAAAATCGTACCTGATGTTCTTTTATGAAAAATGAAAAATCAGGAGATCCCCCTGTTTCCCCTATAAATCAAGGAATAGTGACTATAGTACACAGATTAATGTTGACAAAATTTTCATCTGTTAATTTTGTATTTAGTATATTCAATACTTTTCAGCATATTTTTGTTATTCTTATTTTGATCAATTTTTGGATTTTAATTTAGTTCCGTAATTTCATATATAGATATTTTAATTATATCTTTAAACACTTAACACAAAAATAAAAAAAAAAAACAAAAACAAATAATTACATGTAAAAAAATAAAAAGAAATAATTATTAGTTCAGATTATTTTTCATATAAGTTCAGACACTGTTTACTTAAGCAAATTCTGAAACAGAAATACTTTTCTCACGACAAAAGATGTGTATAGTTGGAATTTGAGTAGTTTAACTCAAAATTGTTTTGATTACTAGTATACGTATAGCTGTTGTGCCTCGTTCTGCAATTCTTAAAATTTTGTAAGAGAATCAATTAATACAGATATATGTATTTCTCTGTCCATCTATAACTGGTTGATATCTATATGATATACATGTATTTTTTAATTCTTCTACTGTTTAGTATGAATTGATTTTTCTTCCAATTTTTACAAAAAACATTCAATGCCCTTTTCATAATGTAAAATTTCTAATACTGGCTGATGATTGCCGTGTTAAAGAACAATATAACCCTGTCATCACAGGAAAAAGAATAATTACTAAAAGTAGAAGAAGCAAAATACAAATTGAAAGAAGAATAAATGCATTGAAGAGGGGGTCGTTACATATAAACGGGTCATTTAAAGAAATCAACACTGCTGAATAGAATGTTACAATACCTTATATGTAGAGAAGAAAATAAAATCTTCACTCATTGTAAACATGATGTCAAGATTATGAAAATGGAACTTTATTATAAATGAAACTTTATGAAAATTAAGGATTAAAGGACAGTACATATTATCGAACTATTATAATTTAACTCACCAGGGCCATTTTACACCAATTAGTCCTAATTTGAAGGATGTAATATAACTTACGCGTTTAAAAGAATATATTTTGTAGTAACAAATCGGCATGAATTCTAAATGCAACGTCAGAGTACTTTTTTAATCACAAAACTCTAATATGGTTTACGAATATTCCTACTGATTTAGAGTTTAGATAGTAAAAGACCAAGGTCACAAATTCTTACAAATAAAATGGCTTCAAGATTGTCTAGGAAAAACGCGTCTATTTTTCGTTTCCTAGTGAAAAAGTAACTAAAAACAAAACTCAAAATAAAAAACCCATGTGAATTAAAAGAAAACACAACAAACATAATGATCGAGAACTAGTGATTTCAAAACAATAATTCAGGGCTTCTTAAAAGCTATATTTTTAGACAGCTCCTATGTATATAATGCTTATAAAATTTCGTTACATAATTATTTAGATCCTTTCTCCGTATTGACTGATGACCAGATGTTCGTGTTATTCTGTTTTCTGTGTTCTGACTCCGGTCCCCCTGACTTCACTGACACAGAGTGGCTGGACTTGCTCAATGGGATACGACAGTTAGCGTACCGTAAAGAGAATCCTGTAACACGTGAGGAAGCACAGCAGACTCTGGACAGACTGAAGTCACGTGATTACCTCTGGGAAGATGAGGACAAGATAACACAGGATACAAAGGATGAGACAATGTACAGGATAGCATCAATAGAACGTGTTATACCATTCTGGTACAGTAGTTATGACACAGCCAGTATGTATCTAAGATCATCAGGATACAAGAGAAAACCTGGAGAGAAGTGTGTCAGTGTTCCTGGTTTAGATAGCTTACTGATACTCCGTCTACAAATGAACATACTGACTCACGTCACCATGGAGGACAAGGAGATATATGATGAGATAAACAAGATATGTAAGTCAGTGTAAAGAAACTCAATAACTTTTCGAATTTTGCAAAATTCATCTGGAGATTGACTTCTGGAGAATGGTATATTGAAAGCAATATGAGCTGCATTTTTAAAAATTTTATATTGTTGGTAAAATGTGCTGTTATGTTTAATTTGTACGTAATTTAGACTCTTATGACCAATAAGCCCAAAACAAAGTTTAAAAATATTTCAAAAGAAATATTTCTGTACAACTGAATATACAGTATTTTTTAAAAAATCATTTTCGTAAAGGACGAAAATAATTCAATTTTACTTCAATCTAAAAAAAATTCCATTGAAAATATGAAAGTTTATAAATGTACTAATGTAGTATTTTTCTGTCATTCAAATAGTTAATTACAAATTTGCGGAGAAAATTTTCCGATGTCAAACATGCAGCTCATATTGCATTAAATATGAGAAAGTCAGCATTACCTTAGAAAAAAAAATCATATCATGACCTCAGGTTCTTGTTTCTGTAGGAAATTTTTGACCCACGGTATAATAATAACACAAAGTATCTATAACTCCAATATATACCAAGTACCCCCTCCCTTAGAATCGCGCTCATTTACACTTTCAGAGAATATGTACGGGTAAAGTGTGTATATATATGTCTTCTACGATACTTTATCCACACAACCATATCTGACATGCTTGTCTTTGTTTTTTTTTATCTCTGTAATCAGCTTCAAAACTTTGCTCGCCGAGTGGAAAGAAAAACTCAGCCATAGAATGGTATGTTATGTTCTTATTCGTTTCCACTCAAACGAACATGAATAGTTATAAAATAAATAACAACACGTACATGTATATAGGCAGGAACAGAAGTGTTCTCGTAAGTGCAGTTTAATATATACAAAATATACATTTCCAACTTTTCTCCTTGACACATCAAATCTACAAAACATATGAAACATATAATTAATAAAACAAACATGATACTTGTGAGGGTGGGTGGGCGAGGCAATGTCTGACTGCACTGAGAAAGAGCCTTACACAAGAGCCTTTAAATCTTACAAATGCTAAAGCGTACGTGCTTTTACAACCCAAATATCAAGACTATGTTGGGCCAACATTGGCAAAAGGTTGTATGGTTGGCGTTGGGGGAACAACGTTGGGCCAACGTTGGATCAATGTCACCATGCCAACCTTCTCGACCATGGCAGAATTCCTATGTTAGCCCAACGTTGGTCCAACGTTAGCAACTTCCATTCACTTTACTTCCCAAGGAAGGAGGGATGTTGATGTTGGCCCAACGTTGGCCCACTGTTTGTAATACACCCTTAAAGAAAGTGTCTTTTAAAGTTGGTAGTAGTATGTTGGCCCAACGTTGGCCCGATGTTTGTGATACACCCTCAAAGAAAGTGTCTTTTAAAGTTGGTAGTAGTATGTTGGCCCAACGTTGGCCCAATGTTTGTGAAGTGTCTTTTAAAGTTGGTAGTAATATGTTGGCCCAACGTTTGCCCGATGTTTGAAATACACCCTTAAAGAAAGTGTCTTTTAAAGTTGGTAGTAGTATGTTGGCCCAACGTTGGCCCGATGTTTGTAATGCACCCTTAAAGAAAGTGTCTTTTAAAGTTGGTAGTAGTATGTTGGCCTAACGTTGGCCCAATGTTTGTAATACATCCTTAATAAAGTGTCTTATCAAATTGGTAGTAGTATGTTGGCCCAACGTTGGCCCAATGTTTGTTTTACACCCTTAGAGAAAGTATGTTATCAAATGGGTAGTAGTATATTGGCCCAATGTTTGTAATACACCCTCAAAAATGTCTTATCAATTTGGAAGTACATTGTAGTATGTTGGCCCGATGTTAGCACGAGTGTTCTTTTGTTTAGGTGTTTCAAAGATTTGATATATATATATATATATTGGGCCAACGCTGGCCCAATTATCATACTTCCAACTAAAGATGGTGTCAATTGTAGTTGCTGAGCTGACATTCTATGTCCATGCTTTTAATTGGATGACTGGATTGGATAATTGGATTATATTTTTTGAATTATGCACATGCATGATTATTTATATTTGAAATAAAACCCTTGAAATTATGATTTTTTTCATGAGAATTTAGATAAGACTGAATACGTTCTCAGGAACAGGATGTGAATTAAGCCTATATACATAAATCAAAATGACACAGCTTTATAATTAAATTGAAACAAAAGTTAGGCGTTCGCTATCACGTGACCAAACTGTGGAGTGAGTTGTCAGATTTAATTGCTCACAGGTGGTGATAATGCAAGGCAAGCAAGAAGAAGTGAAATTTAAATTTGTGGATTATACACTTGCTATACAGCTGCATTTAGAAGCGATGTAAGTATATTTATTCTTATTTATTCAGGTTAACTGTTAAAATTGATTCGGAATTCATTTTGTTATGTTTTTGCACACAAGCACTGTAAGGTAAGGTTAAATAACATCTTTTAAGTTGTTTCTATCTATCTAATTCTTAACTGTCTAATACAGACACGATTGTAACAAAGAAATTCAGTCAGAGACTGCAAGGAAAACAAATGTGGCGGTACATGTAAATAACAATGAAATCGAAGACCATGCATAAAGAAGTGTATCAAGTATGAGTCCGTATGACAAAGATGAAGATGAAGAAAACGGGAGGCGACGAAGGGATCGACGGAAAAAGAGCGGGAATACAAGAAAATGACTATAATAAAGGAAGTGAGCACTGATTAAGACCTTTTAATTGATAATTTTTCATAATTTACCTCTATTGTCTATTTTAAAATTTATTTTGTAAATTATGATTGAATTAATGTATATAAAATATTATCACAGTGAATCATTAGTAATGTTTTCATTGAACATGTCCATGTATGCATTATGAATGCAGATTGAATTGTGTATAAATTATTTTAAACAGTCATAAAATAGGTTTATGTAAAGAATTACTAAACCAATTGCAGATGTTTCTATGTAATAACTATGTTGGCCCAACAATTTGACATCTGACATTGTAAAAAAAGGGTCAACATTGGGCCAACCTAACCAACCAGTTGTTAAGGTTGGCTGTTAGTTGGCATACACTAAAAACTACATTGGCATAACAATATGCCATCTGACATTTCAACAAAGGGCCAACGTTGGGCCAACCTAACCAACCAGTTATTTAGGTGGGCTGTTAGTTGTCATACAATTATACCTACGTTGGCCAAACAACATGCCAACATGTTGGACCAACGTTGGGCCGATGAGCAAAATTACCGTGGGCCAACGTAAGGTTACCAACAGTGGGCCAACGTTGGAAAAAAAAATTGGGCCAACGTTGGCCCAACTATGTCTTGCTATCTGGGAAATACCTGTAGAACAGGTAATCTATAAACACTTTAACCAGTCAGACCGACACTCTTCATTTGCACTAGATAATCACATGTCCGATTGATACACGTGTTATGATAACTTCATTAAATACATTAATGTTCTTATTCGTTTCCACTTAAAAGAACATAAATAATTTATAAAATAAATAACAACACGTACATGTATATAGGTAGGTACAGAAGCGCTCTCGTAAGTGCAGTTTAGATAATAAAGAAAGAAAAGGGATAAAGATTATAAATCCAACTGTTTCATGAATACAGAACGTTTTGATTGTAAATTTTTGTGTTCATAATTCTTTTGCATTTTACGACTTCCATGCTCCAATTTCCTAAGAAGACGATCACTGACACTGGCTGCAGCAGTATCATCATCCGACCTCAAACGATATTCCTTACATTTTATAAAATCTAGTTCTGAACTATCTTTAACTAAAAACAAATTAATTCATGACGTCTCTGATGTATCTAATAAAAGAAGATACCTAAGTAACATATTAGCCAGACGAGTATCAAAGTTCGTACGTGATCATATACACAAAAAGCGCCATGCTGATAAACGTCAATTTTCATCTTTGCAATGAATAACTTAAGATGAAATTCATAAAAAGAAATATGCGACCTTAAAACTAATATCATCAATTAAAGAAAAAAACTTAAAACCCTAAATATCCTTATAGAAAATACATGTACACGATTCATTACATATATTGATTCATTATTTCGTGGACTCAGGATACCCCATGAGTAGCTTCCTCTACTTTTGAAAGAAAAAAACTGGAACGATAAGTCAAATACATTGTGACATGGACATCACTTAGAAAATTGTTAAAGGCATACCCATCGTTGTGTATTTCATGCTTTTGACTTCAGGTAGTAGTTGGGTAAGTGCCCCGCAAGAAAAAGGATGGGACCTAAGTGCTGTTAAACAAAGATGTTCATCCACCAGCCCAAAACAATTGTGCAAAACGTACACAGTAAATAAATTCAAAACAAAAATGTTAATTCAAGACAACAGTATAAATCTTAAATCTGCGTGTATTTGGGCCTTGCAGCAGCAATACACAACTTGATAAACTCTGTTTGATAAACAAGAATAGTTGATTTTCCAATTATACATGATATAAGGAGCCCTGACTTCATAATATTCAATGCCGTAAGCGATACCAGACATTACGAGGGGTTTGCGCTAGTCCGAGTATGGTTAAACAATGTTGTTGAAGAGTGATTCCCGGCATGCAGAAAGAGAGTACATGACTGGTATAGCCTGGATTTCTTTTCTGAAACCGTTTTCTCAACCAGATAAATGCCAGAGGTGGGTTAAACTGTGCGGTAGCAAATGTAAACAAGTCTATACAATCAGGTACAATATGCTCTAAATCACCTTTGTGACAAGTTTATACTAGAATCACTCAATATAAATTAAAATTGATCTGAATTGTTATTGTTATGCATTTGGTTTAATTTAGAATACATCCAGTAAATAACATTTTTGTTTATCAGAGGTATTTTGCTGGGATGTGGGGGCCCATGAAGAAATGTCTATAGAAGTTGAGGGAAATCAAACAGTGCTGACTGTGATGTACTACAAATACATAATGAAGATATGGATTGATTGTATGTATATTGTTTAACGTCCCTTTCCAGA